GCAGAGGAGGGGAGGTTTCCAGACTGCCCTGAGAAATGTGGTCAGGGATACGAGTTGTGCTGGAGTAAGTGGGAAGGGATGGGAAACAACTTCATCTTAGTTCTGGAAATCAGAGTCTCTGCCCAGATAGCCACATCCTAAAGCCTCACTCCAAACATTATTATGAGAGAGAGAGACAGAGAGAGAGAGACAGAGAGAGAGAGAGAGAGAGAGAGAGAGCGCGAGCGCTGGCAGGTCCAGACTCTGGCTCTATCCCATCCAACTTTGTAGTTTTATATTTGGATGCAGTTCGGAAGGCCTTATGCTGATTGGTCATTAATCCGGTGAGTTATTGTCTGCTAAACAGAGGTCACTGGGAGAGAGACATCCAATCTGTCAGGAGAGACCTGCGCAGTCACTCGCAGCGGCTGGGCCCCTGTTCCTCTTTTGCCTGCTTCTCCCTGCCTTCCCCAGCACTCCCCCACCCCCATCCAGCTGTCCTAGATTCGACCCTCTTCCTCTTGCCTTCTCTGCCCACCTTTGTTTCAACATCTGCCCGGGTGGGTTAGCTAGGCCTGGACTGAGCTTCTAGATGGGGCGTCAGGGACCCCTGATTCAGCAGGGGCTCATACGCCAGCAAGGCGCCCGACTGCCGGCAACTCCCAACTTGACGTGTGTGTGTGTGGGGGGGGGGGCATCCGCTCTTCAGCGTGGTCAGGCGGCCTCCGTGGTCATCGAGGAACCTTGGCAAATCCCCGTGGCTGCCCTTTTTTTCTCCCGCCTCCCTTTTCACCCGAACGCTTGTGTGTGCGTGTGTGTGTGTGTGTGTGTGTTGGGGAGGGGCGAAGTACAGCTTGGGTATTTCTTCTTCAACCCTAGTGGCCTTTTTGTTCTTTCGATCCCTCTGTTGAGCCCGGTCTACACCGGCCTCTGCCAAGGCGCCAAATCTCCGTGCCACTGCCCCTTTGTTCCGTCCCAATCCCGCGTCTTGCAGTGGGGTGGGGTGGGGGAAGGCGGGTTTGGGGATCCAAATACCAAGTGGAGTCTTCAGTAGCAATTCCCATTTTACAATCCCCAGCTTTAAAGTCTTTATTAATATTTAGGAAGGGATGGAGATTCCGGCGCGGGTGTGAACTTCACAAGACTGCCGCTGCTGCAAAGTTGGGCAGTGAAGCTAGAAGAGTGTGGGTCTGGGAACCCAGACAGGACCAGAAAGGAACAGACAGATGCTTCGTTCGGCGGGTTGGATTGGGGCAGGTTGAGCTCAGGGCAGCATCCTTGGTCACCCCAAGGCTGATCATCAGAAATCGATTTTAAAGGAGCCAGCCAATTTGTGCTTCTTGAGAGGAGAATTTTCGTTTGCTCTCTGATGGATTTTTTGGAAGGAGGGAAACTGACACGAACCCCCGAAGGTCTGGAAGGCTGGGGGCCAGCGATCTCTCAAGAGGATTTAAAGTACTCCTTGTCCCCTAGTACTGGGTACAGATTAGGAGTGGGGGAGGGGAATGCCAGTGCCAGAGTGCTCTGGCTTTTCACAAACTGAATCAGAGAGAAAAGAATGCCTATGAAAGGGGGCATTTTCTCTAATTTTTACCTTTATTATTAATTTTTTGCTTTTAATTATTAGATTACAACAAGGTCTCTGTGTCTCAATCTTTCCAATTTTTTTCAATATCTCTCTCTCTCTCTCTCTCTCTCTCTCTCACACACACACACACACACACACACACAGAGTAAATTGCCAAGTTTCCCGCCTTGAATCCAGAAAAAAATTGTTCCCTCTCTTCCCTTTAGTCTGCCCCTGAATCACAACTTCATTGGCAGGGGTGAAGCCCTCTCATCAACTCTTTTCCAGACCCAAAAGTCTTCCCTCAGACCCCTCTGGTGTCTCCCACCCCAAGTTCCCTGCCCACGCTCCTCACTGCCCAGCCTTCGTCCCCTGAAGTTTGAAAGGTCCCTAGCCTGCATCAACATCCCAGGGCTGCCTGCCTTTTCTACCATGCATACTCCACACCCTCCCGGCCCCAATCAGGGGCAACGGGCCAGCCAGAAATCTCTGAGAAAGGAAGAAAAAAGGCAAGAAAGAAGCCAAAATGGGATCTAATTGCCTTGCCTCCCAAACATTTCAAATGGGCTGTGCTCTCCAGAACTAATTAAGAAGTCCCACTCCATCTCCTACCGCATTTGGGGGTGCATGTCCTCTGAAAATTTTCTTCAGGTTAGTTTTCTTGCTCCCCAGTTCTTCTTTTTGCTTCCACCCCACTGTGCCCCACTTCCTTGTGTGGCCAGAAGGGACCACAATGAGTTGAGGAGGCTCCGGGGTGGGGAAGAGGAGTCCACTGCTGTTTCTGGAAAACTCCTTCACCTTCAGCTCAGCTCCAGGCCCGATACTCCTGTAGCCTGGGCTTGCAGGCCTGCAGCTGGCTGGGTGCTCTCCAGACTCTCTTTTTATTCCTTGGTGCAAGGCTTTGCAGCCCCACAAACAACCAGGTTCTTCTCTCAATTTCACGATGACCTTCTCTAGCAACAGCTAGGAGAGCTTTAGGCTCTGAGGTACATTCTTAACTTTTTTATTTTGGGGAGTGAGAGAAAAGACTCAAAGGTGCCGGTTGGTTCCCTTAAGCCTCTGGAAGCCTCCCGGACCCACCAGACCCCCCAAAGGTACCTAAGTCTGACTCTGTAGGTCTCTAACCAGGGACTAGCGATCTCAGGACAGATTCCTTGCAGCTACACACTTAGGCAACCCTAATCACTCTCTTTGAGGGTCCTGGCTTGAGACCCAACACTGGCTTGGGCATTTTCTTTTCTTGGTACTACTGGTAAACACAGAAAAATGGCTTCCATCCTCCATCCTCATCTACCTCCACCCCTTTCTCTCAGCCACCACTCTCTAGGTAGAAGGTAGGATCTTTGGGGACATCATAGTGGAAGCTCTGCATGCAGTTCCTGTTGCTGGAGGGTAGGGAGGCCATGGGTACCCCATCCCTTAATTCAGTAGGGCCCCAGGAAACCTGCTGCTGTAGCCCAGAAAGCCTGACTTAGGGAGCCTGGAAGAAGTGGGGGCCAGGGGAGCCCAGGGACCACTCCCTATGAAAATAGAACCTTTCCTCAGCCCAAAGGAGAGCCTGTGAGTGAGGAGCGATAGGGTATGAGGGGAGCTTTGCCCGACACACCACCCTCTCCTGGAAGGGAGACAATAGCTGGAAACAATCTCTCACCTTTGTTCTCCCAGTCCCATCTTTCCTGGTGCATCCAGATAGGAGAAGGCAAAAGCCAGATATTCTAACCAGGAGGTCACAGGGTAGTGGCTGTTTCTGTCTACGAAAAGTTAAGAGAACAAGTTTTCCAAGTTGCCTTTGTAGAAAGAATAGACTGCCTTCTATTTTATTCCCTAAACCCAGAGTCAGCAGTTAGGCAGAGTTGCAAACATTCCTGCTTTTGGAAATGTCCTGGTCCTCTTTTTGTCTTTTTCCTCCACCAGAATGACTTCCCCACCCCCTGACCCAAATCTGCAGACACCTACATTCTTGGCTCCCGTCTTCCTCCTACAGGTCTCCCCACCTTTTTCTGCCCTTCTGAAACACATCCTAAGAAAAGTTTAGCTTTTATCATCTTCCTCACTTCTGCCAAGAATCACAATCTTGTAGAACTAAGACAACAAACAGGTTTGTTCTGAATAATAATGATAATGATGATAACAACAATAACAACAATCTTCCATCTCTTCTGCCAGTGCAATTAAAATTAAGTCATTTTGCTAGTTCTTCTCATCTTCTTAGAAGTACAAATATCCTTATCACCTCTTAGCCCTGCCTATCTGGAGGTGAGAATCCTAACAGAAACTTCTCCGTGAAGTTCTTACGGACTCCTTATTGCCAGCCGGTCTTGAGCTCTAACTAAACACAGGGTCCTCCTTTTGTCACCCTCCTCTCAACCCCCCTCGCTCTGCAAGATGGTCTGGTTTTTAAAAATAATCACTCACCGCTTGTTGTCTGTTCTCAAAGTGGGGGGGGGGCTGTTTTTAAAAAATCTGGCCTTCCCCCCTACCGGTTGGAAACTGGGTCTGGAAATTTGTGGGGAGAGAGGAAGAATAGAGTGCGTGTGGGGGAGAGAAGCAGACTGGGAGACTCAGATGGAGGGCGCCAGAGTGAGAGGGCAGAGAGGGCAGAAGACCCAGCCACTAGCCCCAGAGGAGAGAAACTACTCAAAAAAAAAAAAAAAAACCCACACAAAAAAACCAACCTAGTGTTCCACTGCGAATGAATGCAGAGGGGCACCCAGCACCCCACCTCCGGGGAAGATAGCGCCTTTGACTAGGCCTCCCAGCAGCTACTTCTCAATTAGCATAATGGTTTACTACTGGGGAGCTGTGAACACCAACTGGCTTTGCCTTGCCTTTGCTCTCCCTGCCTCCCTGCCAAAATCTCCATTTAAAAATTTACCTGTTCTTAAAAAAAGAAAAAGGAAAGAGAGAGAGAAAGAAAGAAAGAAAGAAAGAAAACTCAAAACCTCTACCTTCTTTCCTTACTCACCCTTTTTTTTGGGGGGGTGAAAATCCCCTCTTCTCCAATACCACCATCACCTTCCCTCCTTATCAGGCATCTAAGCTTGCTAAAGGGGGAGAGGTGGGGGGGGGGGTGAGCTTGTGTGTGTGTGTGTGTGTGTGTGTGTGTGTGTGGTTTTTTTCCCTGTGCAAAAGCAGAGGCCATTGTTACGGAGAGTAGGGCGTACCAGTCTTATAGGGCAACCACACTGTGGCGACTTGGCCGTGGCGGAGCCCGGAGCTGGATTCTCGGGGAGCCCAGCAGCCCGAGCACCTTTCGGTCTTCTATTTTTTTCCCGCTCCCCCACCCCCTCACTCCTGCGCACCCCCGCTCCTAAGCCGAGTGAATTGAAGCGGACGCCGCGCGGCACCTCCGGCCGGTCTGCCCCTCGGGCTCCCCAGCCGGGGTGGCTATTGGGGAGGGGGGGGGGGGCGACGCAGCTTTAAACAGTGGTCTTTTTTTTCCTTTGCCTTCAAGGAGGGGAGATTTCTCGCCTGCCGCTCGCGCTGGGGCTCGATGTGAATATATATTATGTCTGCCTGTTCTCCCCTCGTCGGTGGCTAAGGTAAGCTGGACTAAAATAGGCTATCAGTTTGTGAATGGCGGAGAGTATGTCTCAATGATTTATGGCCCATATGACTCCAATCTCGGTTCAAGAAGAGTTCACAAGCTTTAAGCTTCCTTCCACGCAGCGACTGACTCTCTCTCTCTCTCTCCCTCCCTCCCTCCCTCTCTCTCTCCCTCTCTCCCTCCCTCTCTCCCTCTCTTCCTGCTTCTCTCCTTTTCTCTTCTTTTCTTTCAGCAGCCAGATCCAGGGCAGAAATTTTTCTCCCGCTGATAAGAAGAGCCTAACCTTTCTCTTCCTTCCCTGTTTTATTTTTCTTCCTTCCATTATTTTTTTAAGTCCTGGAAGGTGGCCTATTCCCTCTCCCGGGGCTTCCCCAGCCATTGTTACTCCCCCGGCTCTTATGGGGGTGTGCCTGGCAAGGTGGGTTTCTTAGGGTGGCTCACTCCAGCGAGACCCTGGGGGGAAGCCAGGAATCACCGTTTCCCTCCGGAGAAGCCATATGGAGCCTGGATTTTTCCAACATGGAGGCAAGGGAAATAGACATGTTTGGCTTGGTAGAGCTGCTCCCCACCCCCACTTCTCCTGGATCCCCAGATCTCGGGTCCCCTAGGCACCTTTCCCTCTTCTCACTGTCCCGTCAGCCAGGCCTCGGCGCCCTCCAGCCCGGCCTGGCAAAGTCCCGGAGCGGAGTTGCTAAAGCGCCTTTTAATTCTGTTACCTCCAGCGCCCAAACTTGCTGTCGCCCGTAGGGCTCGGCCCTCAGCCGGGTGCGCTTGGAACCTGCCACCGCTAACCGGTTCGGCGTCCTGAACGCTTTCTCTTCGCCTCCTTGGGCCCGGATAGCTAGTCGCCAGCCACCGCGGCAGCAGCGGCCCAGACAGCCCGGCGGCAGCGGCGGCGGCGGCGGCGGCGGCGGCCGGGGGCTAAGCCCGCCGCAAACCTTCCGGGCCCTTTCTCCCCGGCGGCAGTCTCCATTCTTTCCTATCACGCTTCTGGCTTCTCCGCTTCCCACACTCTCCTGGCCTCGGCCCTGCAATGGTTTGCGGGTTTATTGCAGGGGGAGCGACAGAAATTTCGGCCTCAGGCGTCTAGTCAAATTATTCTTTTATCATCATCATCATCATCATCATCATCATCATCATTACTGCTGTAACAATCATTTAGACTAAATAAAGCCAGGGCCCAGACAGCCAACCCCCTTCAACGTTTTTATTTTATTCTTCTATCTATTAATAACAAACTCAACTGATGCCTGTTAATTAATTCCCCCTTCAGCCAGGGCTGCTCCGAAGCTAATTTTGGTTAAATCATCAGAGGCTAATGGTAATAATAATAAAGGGATTGGGTCAGCCTGGTCAATTGAACTCCAGTTTTCCCTGAAAGGACCTGCTGTTTTGCAGACCCATGTGTATTTTCCAGAAACAAATTCTTCCCGGAACTCAGGGCCACCCTGGCTTTCTTTTGAGTATAAATCTGTGCTATTAAGAAGGGGATTTATGTGTGGGAGGGACTTCCTTCACCTACACTCCTTTTCTTTTATTTTCCTATTTTTAGTTTTCTTTGGAGTTTGCCAGCTGGTCTGAATGAGATTTAAGTATTCCAAACTCACATGTCAGAAGAGGGGGTCAGTCTGGAGGTTTTATGAAAAAGTGATGCCTAGGCATTGGGGAAGACAGATGGGGTGGAGGATGAAGTCAGAAGTTTCAGAAGAAATATACAAAATCTATGACAGCTTGAACCTTTATTTTTCTGCACACTTTTAAAAGGCTGCATGAAAATAATGATTGTATTTTTAAAAATTTATTTTGCCTCAGAGAACTTTAGTAAACAGGGGTACCCCGTTTCCAACCCAGAGAATAATATTGTCCAGATTGCTTTGTTGACTTTCTTTTTTCTAAGGAATTTTTTTCTCTTTTAGAAAGCCTTTTCCCATCTCGCGGTAGAAAAGTCCAGCAGTTATCCAGTTTCTTTCTTCTTTGGAAGGAATCAAAGGAAACAAACTGTCAAGAAAAGGGTGGGAAAAAATTAAGTCTCTAAAAAACGATGTGGGCCAAATGGTCACAGCACCAACTAGCCCAGCCAGGGAACTGAAACAGCCCTGCTCCATTTGGGGGCCCCGTGGGGGCACTTGGCTGCTGGGTCCCAGACTTGGCTGAGCAAAGACTTAGACTGGAGGTGGTGATACCTGCAGCAGGGACACATGAAAGCCTCAGTTCCTCTGGTCCAGGAGGTTAAAAGTCTTCAGGAAGTTTTCTAGATCAGGCCGTTGTTGTTGTTGTTGTTGTTGTCGTCGTCGTCTTTGTGAGGTGGGAGGGGAAGGAAAGGATCCCTTATACAAGAAGGCTTTCTGCTCAACTTGCTTCTTCTTTCTATTTCTTTCGGAGATCTGTTTTTCCTCCAGGTGAGACTCTGCTTGGGTGAGAGAGACCTAGATGGACATGGAGGGAGGCAGAAGCAGGAGGTCTCTCAGCTCAGAGAAGGGTGCTGATGATGCTTTTATTTTGGAGTCTCCTGTCTCCCCTCTCTTGAGCCACCCTATCCCAGAGTTAGGGGGGGGGAGATAGGGGGAGGGAGGAGGAGAGGTCAGGGGCTAGTGTGCAGGCAGGTGAGAAAGCAACGACTCTTGCAGTAAGTATTAAGATTCTATACCTAGCCAGTCCCTAAAGGAGTAAAGTCCTTATTTTTAAGTGGAAATAAACTGGTGGACTTTTACTTTAAAATTAAAGCATTGAAATAAGAAAAATCAATTTCAGGTCAGGAAGTGGCCTCAGCATCTGCTGTGAAGATGTTGGGGTTGGGGAGAAGAAAAATCCCTATTGATGTCAATTCCCTTTTCAGTTCCTAAGATGGATTCGAGCCCCAGTCCTCTTCTCCCCCTTGTGTCTCTTCTCTCACCCCGCAGGTCAGCGGCTCCGAACAGACCCCGGGAGGAGGGGGGCAGAAAGGGGAGGGGGGGTCCGGCGCCTCACGTGACCCCCAGGGGTGCCAATGTCCGGTCGTGAGGGTATCAGGCCCTTGCAAGTTGCCACCTACTGCCCGGGTTTGGCCCAGCGATGCAGAAAGCCACCTACTACGACAACGCCGCGGCTGCACTCTTCGGAGGCTACTCCTCGTACCCTGGCAGTAATGGCTTCGGCTACGACGGTGCCCCCCAACCCCCCTTCCAGGCCGCCACGCACCTGGAAGGAGACTACCAGCGCTCAGCGTGCTCGCTGCAATCCCTGGGCAACGCCGCCCAGCATGCTAAGAGCAAGGAGCTCAACGGCAGCTGCATGAGGCCGGGCCTGGCCCCCGAGCCCCTACCCGCCCCGCCCGGCTCACCCCCGCCCAGCGCCGCACCTACCAGTACCACTAGCAACAGCAGCAATGGGGGCGGGTCCGGCAAAAGCGGCCCCCCCAAATGCGGTCCCGGCTCCAACTCCACCCTCACCAAACAGATATTCCCCTGGATGAAAGAGTCGAGGCAAACGTCCAAGCTGAAAAACAGCTCCCCCGGCACAGGTACCAGCTCTCTGCCTTCCTCCATGTCCGCTTTTGTCCGGGCTAGGAATGTCACTGTTATTCTAGCACCCAGCCCCTAGGCGCCCAGGCGGCGGCCTGGGAACAATATCAGGTGGCGGCGGCAGCGGCGCAGCTCCCTTACCTCCCACCACCTGATGACCCCTGACCCCGCCAACACCCTCTCCTTCCAGCCACCCTCCACCCGAGCTCCTGAGAGCTCCAGAAGGCCAGGCGCTCGGCCTCAGCCCTTCCAAGGCCGCGGAGCCATGAGACGCTGCCAGTAGACGCAGAGTCGTCAACGATTGATTATTATTAAGTATGATTACTGTGGGTATTAATCACAATCTCTAGGGCGGCCCGGGGTCCCGGCCTCCAGGCACGGCAGCCTCTTCGAGCCACACTCCCATGCCCTGCTCACGGATGTCCAGATTCCCTCAAGGGCCTTCCTCGGCCACCCACCCTGTTCACGGACGGGGCTGGAAGGGGGAGAGTGTCTTCCCAGACCTGGAATTGGGGATGGGGAAAAAAGCGTGCGCGAGAAAATCCAGCCCTAAATAAATGGCCATGTGGCTCCGTCTGCATGACATGATCAAATTTTCATAAGCTGGGGCAGTGAGAGGAGAACAGGTCTCTTAATAAATGCCACTATTATAGAGTGTCCGCTAATGCGACGGGCGTGGGGGGGGGTGTAGAGAGGAGGAGGCGGGGACAGAAAGGGGAGGTGGCGGGGGGCTCCGAGTCCAAGCCTGGATTTATTAAGAAACGATGCATTCAATTTCGGCGTGTTCAGTAATTATCTTTTATTTCATTTTCTCCCCTTCCCACCCCTCCCCCTCGGATCCAGCGGAGGGCTGCGGCGGCGGCGGCGGCGTAGGAGGAGGAGGTAGTGGTGGAGGTAGTGGAGGCGGTGGCGGGGGCGGCAGCAGCGGGGGAGGGGACAAGAGCCCCCCGGGATCCGCGGCGTCCAAGCGGGCGCGGACGGCATACACGAGCGCGCAGCTGGTGGAGCTGGAAAAGGAGTTCCACTTCAACCGCTACCTGTGCCGGCCGCGCCGCGTGGAGATGGCCAACCTGCTGAACCTCAGCGAGCGGCAGATCAAGATCTGGTTCCAGAATCGGCGCATGAAGTACAAGAAGGACCAGAAGGCCAAGGGTCTGGCCTCGTCATCGGGGGGCCCCTCCCCCGCCGGCAGTCCCCCGCAACCCATGCAGTCCACCGCCGGCTTCATGAACGCCTTACACTCCCTGACCCCCAGCTACGAGAGTCCGTCCCCTCCCACCTTCGGCAAAGCCCACCAGAATGCCTACGCGCTGTCCTCCACCTACCAGCCCCCTCTCAAAGGCTGCGGCGCCCCACAGAAGTACCCCCCTACGCCGGCGCCCGATTACGAGCCCCACGTCCTCCAAGCCAACGGGGGCGCCTACGGAACGCCCACCATGCAGGGTAGCCCCGTGTACGTGGGCGGGGGCGGCTACGCGGATCCGCTGCCGCCCCCTGCCGGCCCCTCCCTCTACGGCCTCAACCACCTTTCCCACCACCCCTCGGGGAACCTGGACTACAACGGGGCGCCCCCTATGGCCCCCAGCCAGCACCACGGACCCTGTGACCCCCACCCCACGTACACAGACCTCTCCTCTCACCATGCGCCTCCTCCTCAGGGTAGAATCCAAGAAGCACCCAAGTTAACACATCTGTGATGGGAGAGGGAGGGTAAAGGGGTGAGGTCAAGGGGTAAGGGAGAGCCTGGAGCAGCAACCTGGAAATCTGAAGAAGGGATATGGACGGGGTAGACAGTCTTCCTGGGAAAAAACAAGTCTAGAACTCCTTCCCCTCTAGACCTAAGAGGGTGCTTTTTTTAAATCCTCCAGCCCTTGTTCTGCCTGCCTACCCTCGGGAAAGGAGTCCACCGCAGATTGGAGATGACCCCCATCAACCTTAGACTTCCAGCAAAATCCAGTTGGTATTCCACTCTTGGGAGTGGGGTTGAAGGAGGAGAAGATAGGGAAACAAGAAAGAGAAGCACATTTTAAAAACACAGACAAGATGGCTAGGCCATCACCAACCAACCAACTTACCTTCAGTGTCTGTGGGAAATTCCCCCAAATCTTGATTCCCCCTTGCAATTCTCCTTTAAAAAGAATTAGAAAACATTTCAGAACCAGGGGCACCAAGCACTGCTCCCCCTCCCACTTCCCTGAAGCCTCAAGTTTCCTCCCATCTATTTGAGGTTAATTGGGCACTCCCCTCTAGCCCCATATTTTTCTGCTCTAGTACATTAATATCTATACCCCGACCCCATCAATTACAGTTTTCAGAGGGCTCAGGGATGGTGAGAGATCTTGAAAGTCAGAGCTGTCTATATTATAAATATATATATTTTTTTCTTTTATGGAAAAGCTGGGAGGTGAGGGTAGGCAAATTGTCAGGACTGAAGGTTTGCCCATTCTGCTGCCTCCCACCCATCTCAGCTCCAGGTCCATCCCACTCTTTCTACAGAAAGCAATTGGAGACACGAGGTTCTTCTACACTTTTCTCCTGTTGCTCTCTTGACTTAACGTGAAAACAGGGTATATTTTAACAAACTGTCTGTCCCAGGAAGGGGCTGCAGCTGGGCCTGTGTGCCTTGCTCAACCCCCTGACAGGACACTTTTGTTGCACTTAGAGTTTACATTTTAATGGATATAAAAACAACTGTGAGAGATGTCTGGGCCTGCAGGAGTCCAGCATCGCTCAAAAAGTGTGTGTTCTAGTGAACATTTTCATATATATTTATTGGTCATAGCCTGTTAAAATATTTTCTTTTTTGTATTATTTATCCCCTTACATTATGTATTTATATGAGGGAAAAAGGAAAAAACTGTACTTTTTTTTTTTAGTATTTACTTGTTATAAAGGATGTGTTTCCTGTCATGTAAAACCAGCTATTTTAGTTATTATTGTACTCTAGAAAAGAGCTGTAGATTTATGTTAAACTCGTACTTATGAGCAATTGTAATTAGTTCTAAAAGGCATGAACTCAGCTCCTAATTGTCACTGTATAGTCCTGAATTTGTAGAATTAGATTAATTCCCTCTTGGAACTTTCTGTTCTTCCGTAGTTACTTTTTTCCTTACTTAAAAGGGTTGTCTGTCAAACAATTCTTGAATAAACTTTCTGTTATCAATTTTATCTTGTCCTGGTGGTCCAATTTAGATAGCAGAGTGGGGCTGCTGACTGCCAAATTTCCCCCCAAGGGAATAAGGACACTGAAGACCCTATCCTGGCCTTTTTGTCCACTGTTCAGGCGCCTACCTCCCCTTGCTGTGTCTCATGTTTATATAGCTTTTCTCACAGGAGCCTGGGATATCCTGCCAACTCCTTTAGCTAAGACTTAAGAAACAAGTTGGGGGAAAGGAGGAAGGACTCTTGAGTGCTCTCTCTAGGCCTTTCTGTTCAGCTTTGCCTCTCCATGTTTCTCATTCATTGACCTTTGTCTTCTCACTCCTTCCGTCACAACTTCCTTGCTCAGCCCCCCCCCCACCCGTAACAACAACAATAACAACAGCAACAACAAAAATGGGCAGATTACTGCTCCTTCCACTCAACCTAAACTTCATTTCTCTTCCGGAGCTACAAAGAAGTCGTCACGTGACCAGAAGCCCAACCACCATTGGGTCTAAAATGAAAACAAAGGAAAATGATTAATCAAAAAAAAAAAAATATATATATATATATATATGAGGCCTGGACTTCTCAGGTCAAACCTTAAAACTAAAGTGAAATTAAATTACTAAATAAAACTGGGGGCGGAGGGAAAGAAGGCGCCTTTGATTTCCCCTGCCAAGGAAAGGGAAGAGGAGGAGGGTGGGAGAAGCTGTTGGATCCAAGCGTAAATAAAATGGTCCCCAGGCTAATGTGCGGCTCTGTTTCCACGATCCTTGGGAAAACTTCATTTCTTAGTCGTGGTTCCATAAAAGTTTTATCACATTGGAGTGAGGATAGAGAGAGTCTGTCAAAGATGAAATGTCACCGCTGCGTCGCTGGAGTCGATAAGAGCGAGGAGACAGGGCGGCTGAAATATGGAGCTAATTCGTTGAAAGGGAAGCGATGGCTGCTTGCTGAAGAGTTGCATAATTCTAATTGTAAGCGATGCGCCCGCATTGCTTAATTAGGAGCATATATTTGGTGGAAGTGATGGGGGGGTGTGGGTGAGAATCTTTGCAGGCCCTCAGCCTTAAAGAGAGGGCTGATTTTCATTTTTATGTTGCATCCTGGCAGTCCAAGGTTAGTAATTATAGTCTTTATGCAACAATAAATAACAATAAAAAAGCAACCTGAGTTCTACAACCCCCCCGCCCAGTAGGATTTTAACTGGACTCGGCTCATTCAAGCAGCAAGCAATTTAACATTGGGTCAGGCTATAATTTAAAGGCATAAGAGCGTGCAAAGTTTGATTGGGATCAAATAACGCTCAAGGGTTTTTCTTTCTTTCTCTCTCTCTTCCTCTTCCCTGAATAACATTTTCTGAATGATGTAACTAGGTGAAGCACCATGTTTGGGTCTGGGGGTGCAGTGGATTGATTATTTAGCAGGAGAGAGGTAGGCCAAGAGAAAGAATTTAGCTGGAGCTTGAAAAACAGAGCTTTGGCTTAAAGCTGGGTGGCAAACAAGAAAAATAAGGACCGATTTAGCTTGGTGTACCCCACCCTTATTTTCTGCGAGATTCCAGCTAGCTCAGCAGCCAAAGTCATGGGGAAAATATCTGTGCTGTAAGATTCACAGCACAACAGGGGGCGGGGAAGCTGTGTCTCTGGGAAGGAGGGCTCTCTTGGCCCCTTTTAACACCCAAGTTTTCTGCTGTTCTCTAATCTGGCAGTAAAATCTGTCAGCAGGGTTAGGGAGAGCCGTATTTCCTGCAGGGACAGTCTTGGCCGGCTGTTGCCGGTGGAAGCGCTAAACCCTGCAGCCAGCTCGAGAGCCCGTGAAAAAACTTCCAGAGCTTCTCAAGGGGGTGGCCGAGAGAGAACCCGCTCTCAGGCCTCACTGCACATCTTCCAGACAACCACTCCTCAGATTTTTCTGCGCCACCCCCCACCTCCGCCCCACACACACCTCCAAATGGTAATTTTGCTTTCTTTGGAGCTGAGTTGGACATAACCCTCTCTGGCCAGTTTGTCCAGTTCATAGCACTTCTCTCTGAGCCCTCCAGAGCTAGCCAGAGTCTGCCACGCTCTGTCCCTGCAGCCCCCACCTCCAACTGGCTCTTCTCCAGCCCCACACTTCGATTCAGACATCTCTGTCCTTTTTAAATACTCACCACCACCCACGCGGATGAATACTCACCACCACCCACGCGGCTGTTACATTGACAGAAAGTTTCTAGTTCCTGCTCCCGGCTGAGTTGCCATTTCTCTGCTAACCAGCCTTCTCTTCCTTGCTGGGCAGCCGAGAGCCAGGAGGGGGAGGGGAGGCCAGAGCCGTGGGAGTTCTCCAGACAAACTTTCCACCCAACTCAGCGCCCTTCCCTCTGTCCCCATTTCCCATCTGTTTCCCCATCTCCCAGAATCACCTTTCTCTTGTGCTAACACCACCCACCCCCAGGCCTTTTAAAGGGATGTGGAATTTCGGCTGTTCCCTCTGCTTTCCCAAAGAGCCAAATTCTTTGATGCCATCGGAGGGAGCTGTCAGGGGGCTAAGATTGATCGCCTCATCTCCTCTCCATCCCTCTGACCCACTTATTTAAAAATCTTCCCCCAGATCGACTTTTCATTTTCTGCTTTGAGATCTGGTTTACCACCAATTGCTTGGGGCCCTGTCTTGTGTCCCCTCCCTCCAGTAAATTACAGCACTCTCTAAAATTCAGACTATCTCAACCCCTTTAAAATGAATAAAAAGCAAACAAAAATACCCTCCATGGCCGGAAAAGGAAGATCATCTCAGTGGTCATTATTTCCACCCCCTCCATGTTCAGGGAATTCTTTCTTGACAGTGACTTTTTTTTTTTTTTAATACTAACTCAATGACAAAAATGGGAGGGGGCATCTCTTTGTCTTAAGGGAGAAAATCCCACCCCCCCTACATGGACCTGATCTTTCAGAGTGCTCTAAGTTAAATAAATTGGTGTCTACCTTGGTTCTTGTTCATGTTCCTGGATATAGATACAGATACAGGCTTGAGACTTGAGTGGGTGCTATGCATTTTAGATCCTGACTGTTGAGGGTATGTCATAGAAGAGTGCAGATACCTCCAGGTGAGGAAGGCAGGTGGACATAGGGGCAGTGCTGCAAACACCAGGCAGAAAGGGAACTGAGACCACACAGCTACGGCGGCTAGAGGCCCAAAAGGGCCTCTCACCATCTATCTCACTCCTCTGTGTCAGCCTGTCGATTTTCAAAGATTTATCTGTTGCTTTTGGAGGGTGGGATGGGGATAGTGGTGCTGATGATTGTAAATCTCCTCTCTTCCTTATTGCACCTTAACACTGACTTTTCCCAAAGGAGGGAAGTCTCTTTCTACCAACTCTTCCTACCACATTGAGATCCTCACTCAACTTCCTTTTTTGGTGGTGGTGTTAGCCATGTGCAGAAAGCTATATACTCTATTAAAATATTTAGAAAAGAGGAAAATATCTCCCTTTGAGATTCTCTTGTTTTCCAGGCTCCAGAACCTCTCACCCTCTGAAGGAGACGCGGGAAAGGTTCTCTAGTTTTTCTGGAGAAAGGGAAGCATTGGGGAGAGGGAGTGAAGGACTGGGGGGCTCATGGTGTCCAGGTCGGGGGTCCTCCAGAGTTTTTGAATCAATTAAAGCAAATAATGCTCTCTGTTTTCTACCAGGCCCAGACGAGTGATTGGCCGAGTTTGGTCTCGTGACCACGAATTCCCTGCAATTTCGCCGGAGTCCTGGGTTTAATAGAGAGAGTCCCCATACGCTTGTATTTATCAGCAATATACAATTATAAAGGCCCAAAATTTAAAAAAAAAAAAAAAAGAGAGAGAGAGACAGCGAAATCTCCCCCTCCCAAAATCGCTCCATCACATAAACCTGGGGGGGGCAGGAGGAGGGGGTCCCTTCCGATCCTCCCTCCTGACGCCCCCCCCCCAGCAGGCCCCCTCCCCCACCATTGAAAGCCATGAATTTTGAATTTGAGAGGGAGATTGGGTTTATAAACAGCCAGCCATCGCTCGCCGAGTGTCTGACTTCCTTCCCCGCTGTCTTGGAGACATTTCAAACTTCATCAATCAAGGAGTCGACAATAATTCCTCCTCCTCCTCCTTTCGAGCAAACCTTCCCCAGCCTCCAGCCCGGCGCCTCCACCCTTCAGAGACCCGGGAGCCAAAAGCGAGCCGAAGATGGGCCCGCTCTGCCGCCGCCGCCGCTCCCCGCCGCCCCCTTGGCCCCCGAGTTCCCCTGGATGAAAGAGAAGAAATCCGCCAAGAAACCCAGCCAATCTGCCACGTCTCCTACGGCCGCCTCCTCTGTCCCGGCCTCCGGGGTCGGCTCGCCTAAAGGTCAGTAAAAGGGGTAGGGGTGGGGTGAGGGGCAGCTAGAAGGGGGGCGGGGGGGAAGGTGTCGAGCCTGTTGGGGGTTTCTTGCCCCGTTTATTCTAGTGAGGAGGCAGCAGAGTAGACCGCTGGGGTTCAGGCCTGGCCGCTGCTAGATTTTTTCCCCCTTCAGCAGATTTTGGAAGCTGGTTGGGGAAGAGCTTTTTCTCTGCTAGGAGAGGAAAATTCGATTGTCCTTTATCTGTTTGGAGGAATGAATGTGTGTTGTTGCTGAGGTTGAATCTGGGGGCAGGAAAAGATTCGGTCCCATTTCCCCCAGCTCTTACACAAGAAGGGGAACCTAAGAGCTAGGGAGGAAAGGAGGTGAGGAACAATCTTTATACACCCTCTTCCAGGGTGGAGTCTGAATTAAGTGGTCCACTCGGAGGACTTGGGTGAGGTTCTGAGGGCTAAGGGGAGCCACTTCCTAACCCCTTCGTGGCCCGTGGGCGGCTCCCCTGAATGCTTTGCCCTGACCTGGGCCCGCTGTGCGGGCGAGAGGGACGGGAAAGAAGGGAAAAGCGTGAGAGCGAGCCGCTTTGGTGGGCGGGAAGGAAGGGACATTGCTGATACTGTTTTTGGCGGATGGAGTAGTCTTTATTTAAGCTGAACTGAGGTTGGGAGGAGGATGCGGCTCCTCTGATGCCCAGTCTGCTTTCCCAGCAGATGGCCTGGGGCTGGCGGAGGCGGCCGGCGGCGGGGCGCGCAGGCTGCGCACGGCTTACACCAACACGCAGCTGCTGGAGCTAGAAAAGGAATTCCACTTTAACAAGTACCTGTGCCGGCCGCGCCGCGTGGAGATCGCGGCCTTGCTGGACCTCACCGAGAGGCAGGTCAAAGTCTGGTTCCAGAACCGGCGCATGAAGCACAAGCGGCAGACACAGCACCGAGAGCCGCCCGACGGGGAGCCAGCCTGTCCCGGCGCCCTAGAGGACACCGGCGAGCCCGCCCCGGAGCCCGTGGCCAGCTCCGGCCGTCCCTCTGCCTCGCGGGCGCTGCGGGAAGCCTGCTCTCAACCGCCCGAGGTCGCGCCAGGCCCCCTGGGCGCTCCGGACGCCCCGTCTTTGGCCTCTCGCCGAGAGGGCGCGGGGACGCCAAGTACCGGCTGCGCCCTGCGCGGGGCTGGCGGGCTGGGGCCAGAGCTGTTGCCCGAAGATGCGTTCCCTAAGCGACAGGATTCGCCTTTTCTGCCTGACCTCAACTTCTTCGCGGCCGACTCCTGTCTCCAGCTGTCTGGAGCCTTCTCTCCCAGCCTGCAGAGCTCTCTCGACAGCCCCGTTCCCTTTTCTGAGGAAGAGCTAGACTTCTTTACCAGCACGCTCTGTGCCATCGACTTGCAGTTCCCCTAACTATCTCCTCCTCCCGGCCTTTCCGACACCCCCAGGACCTTCCCAGGGCCCCTCAACCCCTAAGTGGTTTAGACTTCTTTATGTGTTTGGCTAAAATTCAGGTATTAATATTGTATTAGCATTTAATCCACTTCCTTTCTTCTCTAAATTATTGGGCACTCGGGCGTCTTTTTTAAATCACAGGAAAATTCCGGTTGGTAGACACCTTCCAACAAAATCTCAGGAATAATTAAACTGGGAGGGGGGGCGGTTCTTTAAAAGAACTCGAGGAACCTATTTTCCTCTTTTTTTAAAGTTTTAGACCGTAGATTATTTATTAAAACTCTTTAATAATAGGAAAAAGGGGAAAGTATTTATTGTACATTATTTTCATAGATTAAATAAATGTCTTTATTATACGAAAACGAGTTTTTGTGTTGGGACGCAGCCCCTTTCCTCGAAGTCCCTGGGCAGGTCTGACTCCCTCGATTCCCACCCGGGGTTTGTCTGGCTCTGGGCCGGCCAAGTCCGTGTGGTACAAAAATGGCCCACCTGGCCGCCGCTTCTCCTCCCGCAGCTCCAAGAAGACTGTAGTTTGCTGGGAGCTGGGTCACCCCGCCACCGCCTCACAGATGGCCTTTGGCCCTTCGCGGGTGTTCCCGGGCCTCTGCTTAGACATAAAGGGGGGCGGGTGCAGGGAGTGGGTGTGCTGCCCCCAGAAGAGGTGCAAGGAGAGGAGGTCTCCAACACAGGCTTCGGAGTAGTGGCAGGGGAGGCGCAGAGATTGAGCTGACTTGGAAGGGGTCCTGGGGTTTCCCCGGCTTCTCTTACAGTGCCCCACACCGGGTGGATGGGCTTTTCCCAGTGCGCAGGAAGCTTTGGCCTGGCGAAGGCGTGGAGTGGGGGTCGGGGCTTTTCTCAGGAAGCAGGGCCCGGTCCCCAGGAGGGTACTGGGCCTCCAAGTGGGAAAGACAGGAGGCCGGTGAACGGTGCAGGGGGGCGGGTGAGCGGTGCAGGGGGCCGGTGAGCGGTACAGGAGGCCGGCTGAGCGGTGCAGGGGGCCGGGTGAGCGGTGCGGGGGCCGGGTGAGCGGTGCAGGGGGCCGGTGAGCGGTACAGGAGGCCGGCTGAGCGGTGCAAGGGGCCGGCTGAGCGGTGCGGGGGCCGGGTGAGCGGTGCAGGGGGCCGGGTGAGCGGTGCAGGGGGCCGGTGAGCGGTACAGGGGGCCGGCTGAGCGGTGCAGGGGGCCGGCTGAGCGGTGCGGGGGCCGGCTGAGCGGTGCAGGGGGCCGGCTGAGCGGTGCAGGGGGCCGGTGAGCGGTGCAGGGGGCCGGTGAGCGGTGCAGGGGGCCGGTGAGCGGTACAGGAGGCCGGGTGAGCGGTGCAGGGGGCCGGGTGAGCGGTGCAGGAGGCCGGGTGAGCGGTGCAGGGGGCCGGTGAGCGGTACAGGAGGCCGGGTGAGCGGTGCAGGGGGCCGGGTGAGCGGTGCAGGGGGCCGGTGAGCGGTACAGGGGGCCGGGTGAGCGGTGCAGGGGGCCGGTGAGCGGTGCAGGGGGCCGGTGAGCGGTGCAGGGGGCCGGACTCCAACGCTCTTCCATCCCGCAGTCGCTCCAGGGCTTCTGGGGTTGGAGAGCATCCAAGGAGCGGGAGTGGAGCAGCCCAGAGAGCCCGGGCGGCGTCAGCAGGCGCTCGGCCTGCAGGGAGGGAAGGAAGAGCGAGGAGTGCGGGAGGGAGACGGGAAGCAAGGATGAGGCTCAAAATGGCGCTGGGGCCGGGCGTCTGCGAGGCGAGGGAAGAGCTGGCCGCCGCCATGACGGCCGCGTCGGGACGCGCGGGGCCCCGCCGGGGACCGTCTTCGTACCCTCTGTCTCCTTTTTGGATAGTTCAGACGCCAGTGAAGAAAGGGAGCCAGGGAGCCTCCTTTTGGTTTCAGCTTTATTTTATAAAACGAGCCCAATGGATGCTGAGGCCGCGAGCTGGACCGAGAGGCCGCGTGGGCGGGGAGGGGAGGGGACGCGGCGGGTCTGCAGGCCCCCGTCGGCCCGGCGACTCGGCTTGTGATTCTTAGCTCTGGGGTTGAAGCCTGGCCAGAGCTCTCTCCAAATGCAGACCTACCTGTCTTTGCCAACGACTTCATTTGCCATCTCAACACTATCTCCTATCCCCCCACCGCACCGGCGGGGCGACTTGCAAACCCGGTAAGCGGGAAGCAAGGATCGATCTGTCCCATTGCCTTCTGGTTTCTTCCGCGGAAGGTGGAGATTTAAAGGGCCCTAGAAAGCAATCCATCCTCCTTAGGCTTATTTAATATTTCTCGGGCTCAGAAATAGACACTGCAGAGCTACCTCCCTGGCAGATGTGGCCAGTCTCTAAAAGCAGTTCATTTCCTGGGCCTCCCAGACCTTCCCCTGCACCAACAGGACCGGGACTTGGAGTACCAGGCACTAACAGGCAACAACTGTCAGGAAAAGCCATGAGCCAACTTAGGTCGTGACATATAGGACTAGACAAGCCCTGGATATTGTTTTTAACTGGACCCTCAGTGTGGGAAGTACACACATCTTATTCAGCTGAAATTTAATCCCTTAAACTGTCTCAATATAGAATTCATCTCCTGCATTAAATAATATTATGTCATGTTAAATTGCACTTATTTCTTTCATAAATAAATTAATATAGAACAATTAGATGTGTTATTATAATAATATCGTGTATCTTATTAGTTTATTTTTCTTCATAAAATATATAGGTATGAAATAAATTTAATATATTAAAGTAATGATACACAGCTTATTGGCTCGTGTGTTTATTTTCCTCATAAATAAGTGAATATACAATATATTAAAACCACACTATACATCTCATTGGGCTATGTGTTTATTTCCCTATAAACTGTGCCCATAGGCAGTGTTTAACATCTTAAAAATCACAGCACATAGCCATTTCCACACTAACAAAATGAAACAGACATTTCAGTTGGGGCCTTGATTTCTATGGACAGCCAAACTGGATAATTTGGTCTAATTAAAAATGCTCTTTCAGCTATAACAGGCTGTTACAAAGATCAAGAATACCAGAAGGATCTTGCTAATTGCTCACCTTCCAGCTTTCTTTGGTCAAAAGGAGAGCACCCTTCATCAATGCCAAAAATTCAGGATCTGCTCTGCTGGAGAGAATTCACATCTTGGGATCAGGGTTTGGTCTGCAATACTCAGGGGCCTCTGAGGCTCTGGTTCTCTAAGATCCTTACTGCTCTGTGGCCCAGTAGCATCAGCACTACCTGTGAGGTAGTTTGAAATGCAGAATCTTAGGTCTCACTTCAAACGGAATCAAAATCTCAATTTAGCAGATCCCCAAGTAATTTATATGCACATTAAAGTTTGAGAAGTACTGTTAAATCATAGTGCCACCTTGCCCCCTGCCTTCTTCCCATGTTTAAGAATTTTTGATCCACTTTATCTGGCTATTGCCTTCCAAGCCTCCCCAACCCAAACCAGTGACCCAAAGGGCAGGGATCTCAGCTTTTATCTGAGGCTGCATGAATCCTGATTCCTACCTACCTAAGTGAGTAGGGAGCCAGGAGGGTCCAACCAAAGGCTCAATCTACGTGTCTAGTTCTAGGTACTTTGTGAATCCTGGGGGTGAGAAGCAATCAATCCAAGGGAATCGAGAGCTTCAGCATTTCTCTTGCTTGATTATTAGAGAGTAGTTGGAACTCTTTTTATAGGCAACACACAACCCTTTCTTACACTCACAAAACTCACCATTTCTGATGTCAACACAGCAGAACAAAGAGGCAATGCATTTCCACAATGCATTGACTCCTGCTTTCAATCTCCCCACCCAATTTCAAATTCAAAGGAATGCCTGACAATTTGGGATTCATAAAGAATTGGGACTCAGGATGCCTGTGTTCCAAATGAGCTCTTTTTCCTTGTTTCATCTCTGGGGTCATCCTCTTTAGCCTGAGTTTTCCTGGTTGGCTACGGAGGTGGAAGGAGAAGAGGAAGGGTTCCCAGATAAAGCAGCAGACTTCCCCCTCCCCCAGTGATGGCAGGTTAGAGGGCAGTGGCAGTGCCATTCGGCTGCACTCCCTTATCCCATCCTGATCAGGACCAGATGTGAGTGGTCTGTAGCACAGACTGGATATAAATTGATTGTGGTTAGAATGGGAAGATTTCAGTGGCATTCCGAAAGCTGCTGGTCAGTCTGCCTAGCTTTTGGTGAGTCATTTGAATGACTCATTAATAGTACACTGAAAGCAAAGGGCCATTAGATTGAGGAATTATTTGCAAGCACAATAACCCTGAGTCATTAAAAAAATGTAACTTATGCCTGGGCAAGGCCCTTCTTTCTAGACCTCAGTTTCTCCATCTGTAAAATAAATGGAAGAACTAAATGCCTCTAATGTCCTGTACATCGATATGTGCCCAAAATATATTCATTAGTCTTTACAAACAATGTATTAAATATTTATTGTGGCTGGTGCAGTGTGCTTTTAAATGGAGGTGGTGACAATTGCCCACCTCCCAAGTATCTGGTAGAGCCAGTTAAACAAATTTTAATTTGTACCTTTACACCAAAATTGTGCCCATAGTCATTATTCTTATTTATTTATTTATTTATTTATTTATTTATTTATTTATTTATGTACATGCCCCTAGCGGGAACCGAACCTGGGACTCTGGTCCACAGGCTGATGCTCCAACAGCTGAGCCAAACTGGCCAGGGCCCATAGTCATTATTTAAATGAGTAAGGAAAGAAATCTTTTCAACAAGCATGTAATTGGATGCAGAGCTGTGTGCCAGATGCCAGGTAGTCAATAAATATGAACATTAAGAAGTGTCCTAGACATGTTTTCCTCTGGCTTTCATGCTCTGCCACCTTCCCCAACATTTGGTTATGTTTACCCTTGTTTGAAAAAGAGTAGGATATTTTATACAAAAACAGGCAGGCACCAAACTTCTTTTCTGACATGGTGTATTAGACTTTAAAAGTCCCTTTTAGTCAGGTTTTATCTGG